GATTTCACTTCACATTTACTTCTGCCTGGCCCACGTTAACTTGCTACTTACAAACATGAGCTTTTATAGTAAAGGGAATTACTGGGGGAAAAAAATCACTGTAAGAAATTTCCATTAAAACAAAAGCACTGCTGCTATACTGCTTGTTTAAGTAAGTACTATTGAGAATAAAATAACTTTTTGAGGGGAAAAATTACCATAATTTACTTAAAAAATAATGTGAAGCAAGAACAGTCTATGGGAACAGAAGCCAGAATGTTGGTTGCCCTTAGGGGTAGAGAGAGAGCGGGTCGAGAGGCTTATAGGGTGCTGAGCGTGTTCTGTCTTGTTCTGGTCAGGTTATATGAGCATATCCATTTGTAACTATTCTTTGAGCTGTTACTCTAGGATTTGTGCAGCATTTTATATGTATGTTACACTTTATAAAAAATTCAAGAAAAAATTTTGTCGCAGTTGGCTATTTCAGTTTATTAATATTATGTGGTCTTAAGGTAAATTTCACATTCAAAATTCTCATGACGTACTTTATGCCTTGCCTTAGAGTCTTCAGTCTGTCTTAAGACCAAACCCTACATCTAATTGAACATTTTTTAAATTTTGCAATGAAAAATGTGGTCTATTTCTCTTTCAGCTAAATATTTCTCTTTCAGTTAAATTCTTCAAATTCCTTTGTCATTCTCTTAAATGCAAGTTAGAACATTATTGTAGAATATAGATTCATTGTGGCACATTTAATCAATATTGAAACTCAATGTATTACTGCTTAAAATACACAAACGATCACCAGAAAATGATGGTTTGTGCAAGATAGTGTTTTGTCCTTCATTCTGCAAGTTATTTCCCATTTAGGCACATTGTGGGACACAAATTCAGTGCCCCACTAGAGGGCTGTTTAATCTTCTCTGCCCTCAAAAGGGCTCTTTGTGTTTGGATGTGATTTGGGTCTCTTCAACTTCCATAAAAAATGCTGGTCCTTTTTTTTTTTTTAAAGGCTCTTTTTAAAATACTGTCTAAATGATTTTTTTAATGGAGGTAGTGGGGATTGAACCCAGGATCTTGTGTATTGCTAAGCATGCACTCTACCACTGAGCTAAACCTTCTCCCCTCCCCAAGTGATTTTTCTTCTCACTTTGGTTCAGACAATAATTAAGGTCTTACTCTTAAATTTCAGGCAGTTCCTTTTAGTCTCGACAGCGTTGCAAATTCCATTCACTCCTTATTTTCTGAAGAAACTCCTGTAGTTTTGCAGTTGGCTCCCAGTGAGGAAGTAAGTGTGATACAGTTTTTATTTAAAATGCTTTTAAAAATAAGCTTTCATTATGTAGTGAAAATTTAAAACTAATTGTATGAAAAATGCTGACAGACCTCTGTATATTGGAATTCATCTATAGGATGTAACAAAATTTTGGATTCTTCTTGCAGAGAGTGTACATGGTGGGAAAGGCGAACTCAGTTTTCGAAGATCTCTCAGTAACGCTAAGACAGCTCCGCAGTCGACTGTTTCAAGAAAACTCTGTTCTGAATTCACTTCCCCTCAGTTCTCTGAGTAGGAACAATGAAGTAAGTAGAGAAGTTATTGAAAGAGTGAGTGAGTATGATGACTAATTTCTCAGTCTCCTGACTTTAGCACAAACTTGAGTTTTTAGAAAATGAAGTTTTGCAAGTTTGCTGCTGGAGGAGATTCTTCTTTCCATCATCTTTTTAAAATGACTCTCATGAATAAACTGACTTTTTGTGAGTTGAGCTGTAGTAAATAGTACTGCATTCTGGCATAAGGGTTGCCACCAGTGAATCCTGACAGGCCAGAAGTCATAGTGACTGCTTGGTAGCTGGCGGAGCTGTGTGGATCTGGTAACGTGGGAGCCGTTATTCACTGCCACTTTGATGTGTTGCCTCATTTTTCTAATTGATTCTTGGTAATACAGTGGAGGGAGCCACCCTTACTTTTGACTCCTGTATGTCAGCTCACCACCTGTTCATGCACCCTCTTAACCACATGGCAGGCCACCTTTGTGGGAGCCTCCCTTGTTTACCTACTCTGGGTGACCAGGGCCACCATCTTTTATTCTTCAAGGGATGTGAGCAAGTTAGGCTGTTGGCAGGAGTTTGTTGCAGTGTGCCAGAATATTATGATGCCCTGAGGGAAAACCACTTCGAAGTTTGGGTGCTTTATCAAAAATAAATAGTGGTAGTTACTGTGCTGGAGAATGACCATCACCTTTTTGTTAGGAACCAATGTTTTAGAAGCATTTTATGTTGAAATGAACCTAGTAAATGGAGCACAGTTGTAGAAATGCTTAATGTTTGTAATATCCTGTGCCTTGCTTGAGAAATGGGAAATACAGATCTCGGATGTGTATTGAAATATTGAAAGTAATGCTTATTGGGGGTTTTTTTTTTTGGCAGGTGGATCTCCTTTTCTTGTCTGAACTGCAAGTGCTGCATGATATTTCAAGCTTGGTGAGGTGGTAATTGTGGCATTTCAGGGAGGGAGGGAGGAAGGAAGGGACTCACTAATTCTTATCCCGGCATAGCTATGGAGCGGCTTCTTCAACTGTTCTCAATAGTAGACAACGCCAAATCGCTGTGTTTCCCAGTAATTTATCTGCTTCCTTTTGTTTATTCTCCTAAGTTGTCTCGACATAAGCACCTAGCCAAGGATCACTCTCCTGATTTATATTCACTGGAGCTGGCGGGCTTGGATGAAATTGGGAAACGTTATGGGGAAGACTCTGAACAATTCAGAGATGCCTCTAAGATCCTTGTTGATGCTCTGCAAAAGGTAAACTTATCAATGGAGTGTGAGCAGTTCGAGTATGACCACTTCATTTTTAGCCTCTTAACGGGAAACCCTGCTTAGTGAATTACTGTTGATTGAAGTCTTTTACGCACCTTCTTTGAGGGACCTCTAATTTTAGTGACTGAAACTGGAGTAGCTCAGAGATGTACGTTGGGATGGCTCACTTTCTAATGCTGGCAGAGGCAACACAGAAATGATCGCTAACTCTAGCATACTTTTTCTTTTTATCATGGTAAAATATACATGATATAACATTTTTCTTTTGAATATTTAGTATATGTTGAATCTTAACACTTTCCTGAATGTTTTAACATAATCAAAACTTTTAAGACTTGCCTATTTTAGAAGTGTATTTCGTGAGCCCTTAGGTAATTGGATTTGTTCTTGTAGGTACACAGCTTTGAAAATAGTTTTAGTCAGTGTTTTGAGATTATAGTAATGTCAGTAACTGTTCAGTTTGCAGATGACATGTACAGCCTTTATGGTGGGAATGCAGTGGTAGAGTTAGTGACTGTCAGATCCTTTGACACCTCCCTTGTGAGGAAGACGAGGACGATCCTTGAAGCAAAACAAGTGGTGAGTACATTTTTAGATCCTACTTTAAAATTGTAAAATTAATTCTAAAAACCCCACTAAATCCTGTATCAGGTCGACATGACTGAGCAGTCAGTAAATCTGAAAAGCAAAACAGGTTTCTTACTCACCTAGATATGTTTTGCCAGTGATGCTTAGTTCTTTGGGGCTGTGATCAGATATTGCAAGACTTTGTTAGGGATAAAAGCAAATCCGTCAGAGCCAATAAGGTTGTTCACATATGGGTATTAGAAGGAAACATCAGAAGTTAACGTGAGGGAGTGGTGTGGCTTGGTGTATGTGGCTCTCTCAACTTGTGAAAACTGCTTTTCTCAGAGGTACGCTGTCTTTGTGGGATACTTTCATTTTCCTGCTACATACACGCTCTCTAATTTGATTTAATTCTACAGTTTTTTGGCCTGGATCTTGCTTTGATTTTTAAAGTGTTTAGAGGATCACAGGGATCATTCTCCCCTTGGGGCCCATTTGCAGCCCCCAGTCTGCTCAGTGTTACTGATTGCAGTGTGGGACTGAGTGAGACGGTCAAAGGTAATGTCTGTTCGAGATAATATAGATGTGACTGGCATAGGAGTTGAAGGACGTGTGTTTAAGACAGTATGGCAGGCCAGGCTAGCAGGCTAGACAACTCAAAGAATTTTCCCACTATAGAGCATCTGGATATTGTATCTGTTATACTGCAGTTGCTCATGGTGGGTATGTGTCTAAGAGGCTATATGGAAACCTCTTGACTTACAAATAGAGTAGTTTCTGAAAGGTTGCCATCACCTCCTTTATAAATCGAAAAAAAAGTCTTA